TAAACTAATAAGGCAGATTTGAACTTTATCGCTTTAGGAGGACATGTTATATTCTGTTTCTTTAAGTCTCAAATCTTATGTCCTAAACTAAGGCAGATTTGAACTTTATCGCTTTAGGAGGACATGTTATATTCTTTTTCTTTAAGTCTCAAATCTTATGTCCTAAACTAATAAGGCAGATTTGAACTTTATCGCTTTAGGAGGACATGTTATATTCTGTTTCTTTAAGTCTCAAATCTTATGTCCTAAACTAATAAGGCAGATTTGAACTTTATCGCTTTAGGAGGACATGTTATATTCTGTTTCTTTAAGTCTCAAATCTTATGTCATAAACTAATAAGGCAGATTTGAACTTTATCGCTTTAGGAGGACATGTTATATTCTGTTTCTTTAAGTCTCAAATCTTATGTCCTAAACTAAGGCAGATTTGAACTTTATCGCTTTAGGAGGACATGTTATATTCTGTTTCTTTAAGTCTCAAATCTTATGTCATAAACTAATAAGGCAGATTTGAACTTTATCGCTTTAGGAGGACATGTTATATTCTGTTTCTTTAAGTCTCAAATCTTATGTCATAAACTAATAAGGCAGATTTGAACTTTATCGCTTTAGGAGGACATGTTATATTCTGTTTCTTTAAGTCTCAAATCTTATGTCCTAAACTAAGGCAGATTTGAACTTTATCGCTTTAGGAGGACATGTTATATTCTGTTTCTTTAAGTCTCAAATCTTATGTCATAAACTAATAAGGCAGATTTGAACTTTATCGCTTTAGGAGGACATGTTATATTCTGTTTCTTTAAGTCTCAAATCTTATGTCCTAAACTAAGGCAGATTTGAACTTTATCGCTTTAGGAGGAAATGTTATATTCTGTTTCTTTAAGTCTCAAATCTTATGTCCTAAACTAAGGCAGATTTGAACTTTATCGCTTTAGGAGGACATGTTATATTCTGTTTCTTTAAGTCTCAAATCTTATGTCCTAAACTAATAAGGCAGATTTGAACTTTATCGCTTTAGGAGGACATGTTATATTCTGTTTCTTTAAGTCTCAAATCTTATGTCATAAACTAATAAGGCAGATTTGAACTTTATCGCTTTAGGAGGACATGTTATATTCTGTTTCTTTAAGTCTCAAATCTTATGTCCTAAACTAATAAGGCAGATTTGAACTTTATCGCTTTAGGAGGACATGTTATATTCTGTTTCTTTAAGTCTCAAATCTTATGTCCTAAACTAATAAGGCAGATTTGAACTTTATCGCTTTAGGAGGACATGTTATATTCTGTTTCTTTAAGTCTCAAATCTTATGTCATAAACTAATAAGGCAGATTTGAACTTTATCGCTTTAGGAGGACATGTTATATTCTGTTTCTTTAAGTCTCAAATCTTATGTCCTAAACTAAGGCAGATTTGAACTTTATCGCTTTAGGAGGACATGTTATATTCTGTTTCTTTAAGTCTCAAATCTTATGTCCTAAACTAAGGCAGATTTGAACTTTATCGCTTTAGGAGGACATGTTATATTCTGTTTCTTTAAGTCTCAAATCTTATGTCATAAACTAATAAGGCAGATTTGAACTTTATCGCTTTAGGAGGACATGTTATATTCTGTTTCTTTAAGTCTCAAATCTTATGTCATAAACTAATAAGGCAGATTTGAACTTTATCGCTTTAGGAGGACATGTTATATTCTGTTTCTTTAAGTCTCAAATCTTATGTCCTAAACTAAGGCAGATTTGAACTTTATCGCTTTAGGAGGACATGTTATATTCTGTTTCTTTAAGTCTCAAATCTTATGTCCTAAACTAAGGCAGATTTGAACTTTATCGCTTTAGGAGGACATGTTATATTCTGTTTCTTTAAGTCTCAAATCTTATGTCCTAAACTAAGGCAGATTTGAACTTTATCGCTTTAGGAGGACATGTTATATTCTGTTTCTTTAAGTCTCAAATCTTATGTCCTAAACTAATAAGGCAGATTTGAACTTTATAGCTTTAGGAGGACATGTTATATTCTCTTTCTTTAAGTCTCAAATCTTATGTCCTAAACTAATAAGGCAGATTTGAACTTTATCGCTTTAGGAGGACATGTTATATTCTGTTTCTTTAAGACTCAAATCTTATGTCCTAAACTAATAAGGCAGATTTGAACTTTATCGCTTTAGGAGGACATGTTATATTCTGTTTCTTTAAGACTCAAATCTTATGTCCTAAACTAATAAGGCAGATTTGAACTTTATCGCTTTAGGAGGACATGTTATATTCTGTTTCTTTAAGTCTCAAATCTTATGTCCTAAACTAATAAGGCAGATTTGAACTTTATCGCTTTAGGAGGACATGTTATATTCTGTTTCTTTAAGTCTCAAATCTTATGTCCTAAACTAATAAGGCAGATTTGAACTTTATCGCTTTAGGAGGACATGTTATATTCTGTTTCTTTAAGTCTCAAATCTTATGTCCTAAACTAATAAGGCAGATTTGAACTTTATCGCTTTAGGAGGACATGTTATATTCTGTTTCTTTAAGTCTCAAATCTTATGTCCTAAACTAATAAGGCAGATTTGAACTTTATCGCTTTAGGAGGACATGTTATATTCTGTTTCTTTAAGTCTGTCAAGTAAAAGTTAAAACCTACTTTTATCGACAAAAGTATAAAAAATAAATAATAAATATTTATTTTAAAGAAATAAAATACAATCTGAAAATAAAAATATTTTTAAAAGGATTTTAATGAACGTCTTGGCGTTCGGGAAAAATGAACAATTAGATGTTATGTGTGGATATTTGCCTATTGTTTATATAGGGCCCCATCCGCGATATAGTTAAAGAAAGAATGTGAAAAATAGTATGGAAAGTAAAGAAAAAGATATGTTTCTCTAACTATATCCGGTGGATTGAGAGGTCAAAGTGTTTGCCTATGGGAAAGAAAATGCATGGAAATTTCTGTCCATGACAGATAAAAATATAAAATTTAATAAATTATTTATAATTTAATTATTCGTGTATTTTTACACGACACTGCCCGCCAAGCGAAGTCGTGTATTTTCTTCCTCCTCCTTTTCTTCTTTAATTTTCTTCAAAATTGTATGCATCATGATGTCTTCCGATTTATTTTCATCTATCTTCTTGCCTGCAAGTGTGAGTATAAGTTTTAAAAATCTTCCTAGTCTCGTGTTTTTTATGTGTTTGAATAGGAATGGGAGAAAGCTATCAAAAAGCCAAATATATGTTATATACGTAGCGACTGCTCTCATCCAAAGTTTTTCTAGGTTTATTGTCCAGATGTAATTGAATAGGTCTAATAATGGATTTTTAATTGTCTCTTCTGTATAGTGTATGTATTCTTTATTGTTTAAGGCTTTTTGTATTTTTTCTTGTTCGAACTTTCTGTCAATACTATATGTTTGGAACATTTGTAAAATCTCTATTCTAGGGTCGGTGTAATTTTTTATGATCAAGTTATGAAATGCATGTGTTTCTATTATTGGATTGTTCACATCTTGTTGACTATTTAATGTTAGGTCATGAATCTGTTCTTCTAAAATTTCTTTACTTTTTCCGGTTTTTTGGTTTATTGTTATTAATTTATTCTCAATAAATATTGTGGTGAATTGTGTTTCTGAGCATAATGTTTCTGAAGAATTTTCCTTTATTATTAATGTATAGGGTTCAAGAAATCCTTTTATTTGTGTATCTTTTATTGTAATGTTTATGCTGATGTCTGTATAGCATTTTGAATTTCCTAAGTATGTTATATTTTCTACTGGTATTGGGAGGCAAGTCTTTGTTTCTAGTATTTCTTTCGATATCCATTTTCCTTTTATATATGGGGTGTTCATTAAAATTCTAGCTACTACATTTGCATTAATTCCCGAAATTATTTCGCTCTGAAAAGTATTTATATCTCGCGCACAAAGTATATTTGCCATATGATTGAGGACTTTTCTTATTTTCTCGGTTGTAAGTGTTTCACTAGCTGTGAGTTCTGCTGCTAATTGGTTAGATATAATTATTCCTGTTTGTATTTTTTCGTTTTCCCTTTTCTTTCTTTTTATCTTTTTCATATTGAATATCTGGTATTGTGGCGATGGGACTGCATATCCTTGTTCGCTTAATATGAGTTCTCTTTGACAATCAGTTATTTTTGTAGGATTATTTGCAAATGAAAGACCTATTTCCTTATTCTCAGCTAACCAAATTTTACCCATCCATGTTCCTTTCCACTTTCTAATTTTTGAAAATTTACACAACTTTTCGTTAATTTCTTTACTGATCTCCCATATAATTAATGAATCATCTTCTAGTAAGCATGCCTTATTTTCATATTTACAATGAGAGATGTCTATTCCTGGTGAGAATATTATCGATGAGTCCGGTTTTACATAGATGCTTATATTACTCAAAAAACAATTTAATTCACTTGTTTCTTTGTACCCGATAGTCCAGTAAGAATATTCAATTTTAGCTTCATTGTTAGTATGGCTTGTGTTTCCAGCCCCTGTTAAGACTCCTAGTTTACACCTTGATTTTTTCCATATTCTATTACATTCTTCGACACTAACCTCATCTCTCCAAGTTGTTACAATAATATGTGGGTTATTTATTAAATCTGTCTTAAATTTATATTTGGTACCTAGCATCGAACAGTGAGCTGCTGGTATTTGTACTAAATCTATGTTGGGTTGATATATATCAAAATTATGTGTTATTGGTACCAAAGGATCCTTTGTAAAATTTATACAAGGTCGGTGATTTTCTTTTATTCGCCAATACATTTTGTTTTGCTCTGGGCATAACATTGGTGATTGTAGGAAGCTTCCTGGTATAATCATAGCAAGAATTAAACATAGAAGTATTGTATTTGTAAATGCTTTTTTGATTTGCATGATTTTACTATGAAAATTCTGTTCTTTAAAAATACTATCTTCATTTACTGGACTTTCGCTACTACGAAGGTGATCTGGTGGTCTATCCAACGTTTTTCCCTTCCTCATTTTAACTTTTATCGATCGATTATTTCTATTTTCTATTACTTTTCCAATTTTCAAACATCCGTTTTGTAATGTCTCATCATGTATTTGGACTACTCCAGTATATGGATGTCCTTTTGGATTTTTTGGTTTTGGCCTTTTTGAATATTTTTTCGAAGTGGCATTAACTCGATAAGTTCTGATGTCAACATTTGTTTTTACTGCATTTTTAAGATCTAACTGCTCTGACCAAGGATCTTGTAAATTTCCAACGGGTGATTTGTCAATTATTTGTTTAAGCTGTTTCGTTGCCTTATCGTCTGGAGACTCTTGTTCAGGTTCTCTAATATCAATAGTCTCGAGGTTCCGAAAGTCTTTTTCTTCTATTTTCTCAATAATTTTACTTTCTACCATCATTACATACTGATTTTCGTTTTGATTTTCATTTTCTTCTTCCATTTCTTTTATTCTAGCTTTTCCACAAACTATTGGACCAACTTTAGTACGAAGTAGAAAGCGCTGTTCTCTTAATTTTTCTACACTTTCTAGAATATTTAAAACGTCGGCTAAACCTAATAATATGTCTGGAGTGCATTTCTTTACATTTATTTCGTTTTTTTCGTACAACCAAAAATCTCTTTGACTAGAAGGACAATAAATTTTCATTTGATCTAGATTGGGTGTAGTAAATCCCTCTATCATTAAATTAGATCCATCTTTTAATTTCATTTCGAATTTAATACGTGTAGAAATAAATCTTGATTTTCGACCGCCATATGCATCAATTTCAACTTCAGTTTTATGTTTGGGGTCTGAGTTTAAAAGTCCTAATTTTTTAGCAAAACTTTCGCTAATTAATGTACAAGTAGCGCCTGGGTCCATTAATGTCCGTCCTATGATTGTTTCTTGATTGCTTAAATACTCTATATTCTTTGTGATTAATATTGTTTTAATTTTTTCTCCTTTTAATGCGAATGTATTGATTTCTTCTTTTACATTTTTGCCTGCATTAATTTTAGTTAATTCGATGAAGTCGGTTATACACATTGAATCTTCATCAGAAAAGTCTGGCTCTTTTGTTTTATTAATCCTAAGATTATCGGTTATATTTTGTACAATTTCTTTATTAGTCACTTTCGCACATACAGCTAGGTAATGAGGTTGAGAGCAGTTTTTGCATCTTATTTTATCGTTTTTACAGAATTTTATGATATGACCCTTCTCAAAGCATTTTAGACACTTTCCTAATTCTTTTAGTCGTTGGATCCTAGCTTCCCAGTTACCATAGTTTCTACACTGCATCGAGCTATGGCTTGTTAATTCACAAAATGCGCACGGTCTTTTAGGTCTATCTAGATCATTCGCGTATTGGTTTATTTCGGGCCTTGTATTTTGCCTTTGTTCTCTCCAGCCTGTATTTCTATTAGGTTCAATAATTTGAGTAAATACATTGTGATTTCTGATTGGTGGTTGTCTATAAACTGATGAATTTTGATTAGTTTGCCCATATACCGCTTCTTTTATTTTTAAATGCCTATCGATTGAATCTAATAATTTTTCTACGGTCCAATTAGATGGATTTCTATTTTGTTCCTCCATAATAATACAACTAACCCAGCCTCCGAATTTATTTTCTATTTGTTGTATTAACGCTCCATTATCTATATCTTCTCCTATAGCCTTTAATTGTTGTGTAACTCGGTTAATACTAATCCAATTACTTCTAACATCATCTAATTTTGAGGCGCGAGGGCAAAGTTTATTTAATTCATTGTATAATTCTCTTTTGATGGTGTGATTTTCCCCGAATCGCTTCTTTAAATGATTCAAAACGAGCGGATAGTTGACTGCTGTAACCGCGTATCCGCTAACCTCGTTATATGGATGTGGGCGGTGAAGAGAAGCTAGTAAATACGTCAATTTTTCCGAGTCATCTAAATTATTATTTTTATCGATCGAGATTTCAAAGAGGCTCCAGAAACTTGGCCAATCGCTAGATTTTCCGCTGAAGTTAGGGAGATTACAGATTGGAAGCCTAATCGAATTTGAATGTGCGACGGTCATGTTGGACGAGCTTTCGTTGTAGGAAGTACTTTTGAATTCCCCGAGATTTGCTTCCAATTCACAACTTAAATCCCTAGCTAATTCTATTAAGGCGATGAATCCGTTCTCGTCCTCTGCATAACTATTGTAATCTTTTAACATCTCTTCTCTCCTTTCTAGCGATTCTAAACTTATAAGCTTTGCCCACTCCGTATTAATCTGTTCTAGTACCTCAACTGCCTTTGAAAGTTTCAATTGATATCCTTTTAAATTTGTCGCGTTTTCCTGGGAAATTCCATTATTTAACAAATCCCTAACTGTATTTATGTAGCTTATTGTTCGTTTCTTGAGTGGTCCAAGTCTCATTTTTAAAGGTCCGGCAAAGATTCGAGTACTCATTTTTCAATAGCAGCCTAGGTAATTCAAGCTCTGCTAATACAAGAAATTTCTGATGTGTTCAAAAAGCTCGTAAACAATTGTATTATTTGAAGTGTATTTCGAATGAATTAAACAATGGTTTCTTTATTTTTAATCTCAACAAGTTAGGTAGTTGTTTAAAATACTGATTTGATTATAAGAATTCAAAATTTTTTAAAATAATTTGTTTATTATTATTTGTTGTTGTTTGTACTGTAATTGGTTTGTTTATTGTTTGTTGCGGTTCAGGGAGTGTTTTGAAGACGAATTTCCACTTGTAGTTTTGGCTTGGGCCTTGTGTTGAAAGAATAAACAAGTGCAATTGGTTTCCGGAATGTCGGAGCTGGGCCGATCCAGAATTTGCTTTAGCACTGTTTTGTTGAGTTCTGAAGTTGTAGAAAATTCGCCTCTCCCGGAGCACCACTTTTTTGTTGGTGGTTCCTCGTCAGAGCTAGTGGCTGACAAATCCAATTCCTCCAATAAAGTATTTTTAGAAATAAGTTGTTTATTATTTGGAGCAGAAACGTAGCTGGTAGATTTATTTGTCGTTTTAGAAGAGTATTTGTTTGTGCTGGTTGAATTTGAGCTTGAAGAAGCGCCAGCAGTAACTGTTGACAAATTTTTAATTGTTGAAGTTTTTGTTGTTTTAATTGTATTGCAGTAGAGGCAATCACAACCCGGTTTGTCAACGTGTTGTTTTTTTGCAGCCAAAATAATTTGTTGGACCACAGCGGGGTCGAGTTGATCGGACACTGAAATTAAAATATTGAGTTGCCTCTCCCGGAGCACCACTTTTTTGTCAAGTAAAAGTTAAAACCTACTTTTATCGACAAAAGAATAAAAAATAAATAATAAATATTTATTTTAAAGAAATAAAATACAATCTGAAAATAAAAATATTTTTAAAAGGATTTTAAAGAACGTCTTGGCGTTCGGGAAAAATGAACAATTAGATGTTATGTGTGGATATTTGCCTATTGTTTATATAGGGCCCCATCCGCGATATAGTTAAAGAAAGAATGTGAAAAATAGTATGGAAAGTAAAGAAAAAGATATGTTTCTCTAACTATATCCGGTGGATTGAGAGGTCAAAGTGTTTGCCTATGGGAAAGAAAATGCATGGAAATTTCTGTCCATGACAGATAAAAATATAAAATTTAATAAATTATTTATAATTTAATTATTCGTGTATTTTTACACGACAAAGTCTCAAATCTTATGTCCTAAACTAATAAGGCAGATTTGAACTTTATCGCTTTAGGAGGACATGTTATATTCTGTTTCTTTAAGTCTCAAATCTTATGTCCTAAACTAAGGCAGATTTGAACTTTATCGCTTTAGGAGGACATGTTATATTCTGTTTCTTTAAGTCTCAAATCTTATGTCCTAAACTAATAAGGCAGATTTGAACTTTATCGCTTTAGGAGGACATGTTATATTCTGTTTCTTTAAGTCTCAAATCTTATGTCCTAAACTAATAAGGCAGATTTGAACTTTATCGCTTTAGGAGGACATGTTATATTCTGTTTCTTTAAGTCTCAAATCTTATGTCCTAAACTAATAAGGCAGATTTGAACTTTATCGCTTTAGGAGGACATGTTATATTCTGTTTCTTTAAGTCTCAAATCTTATGTCCTAAACTAATAAGGCAGATTTGAACTTTATCGCTTTAGGAGGACATGTTATATTCTGTTTCTTTAAGTCTCAAATCTTATGTCCTAAACTAATAAGGCAGATTTGAACTTTATCGCTTTAGGAGGACATGTTATATTCTGTTTCTTTAAGTCTCAAATCTTATGTCCTAAACTAATAAGGCAGATTTGAACTTTATCGCTTTAGGAGGACATGTTATATTCTGTTTCTTTAAGTCTCAAATCTTATGTCCTAAACTAATAAGGCAGATTTGAACTTTATCGCTTTAGGAGGACATGTTATATTCTGTTTCTTTAAGTCTCAAATCTTATGTCCTAAACTAATAAGGCAGATTTGAACTTTATCGCTTTAGGAGGACATGTTATACTCTGTTTCTTTAAGTCTCAAATCTTATGTCCTAAACTAATAAGGCAGATTTGAACATTATCGCTTTAGGAGGACATGTTATATTCTGTTTCTTTTAGTCTCAAATCTTATGTCCTAAACTAATAAGGCAGATTTGAACTTTATCGCTTTAGGAGGACATGTTATATTCTGTTTCTTTAAGTCTCAAATCTTATGTCCTAAACTAAGGCAGATTTGAACTTTATCGCTTTAGGAGGACATGTTATATTCTGTTTCTTTAAGTCTCAAATCTTATGTCCTAAACTAAGGCAGATTTGAACTTTATCGCTTTAGGAGGACATGTTATATTCTGTTTCTTTAAGTCTCAAATCTTATGTCCTAAACTAAGGCAGATTTGAACTTTATCGCTTTAGGAGGACATGTTATATTCTGTTTCTTTAAGTCTCAAATCTTATGTCCTAAACTAAGGCAGATTTGAACTTTATCGCTTTAGGAGGACATGTTATATTCTGTTTCTTTAAGTCTCAAATCTTATGTCCTAAACTAATAAGGCAGATTTGAACTTTATCGCTTTAGGAGGACATGTTATATTCTGTTTCTTTAAGTCTCAAATCTTATGTCCTAAACTAATAAGGCAGATTTGAACTTTATCGCTTTAGGAGGACATGTTATATTCTGTTTCTTTAAGTCTCAAATCTTATGTCCTAAACTAATAAGGCAGATTTGAACTTTATCGCTTTAGGAGGACATGTTATACTCTGTTTCTTTAAGTCTCAAATCTTATGTCCTAAACTAATAAGGCAGATTTGAACATTATCGCTTTAGGAGGACATGTTATATTCTGTTTCTTTTAGTCTCAAATCTTATGTCCTAAACTAATAAGGCAGATTTGAACTTTATCGCTTTAGGAGGACATGTTATATTCTGTTTCTTTAAGTCTCAAATCTTATGTCCTAAACTAAGGCAGATTTGAACTTTATCGCTTTAGGAGGACATGTTATATTCTGTTTCTTTAAGTCTCAAATCTTATGTCCTAAACTAA